TTTGTTCAGTTTTCCTCAGATGGGGAAGTTTACCTGTCACTTTTGAAGGCGACCGCTGCTTGGATAGAAAGTCAAGTTCTACCTTCTATCCTCATGGATGAACAGGAGGCAGATATTTCAACACACATTGAAGTTTCTCAGCTAATCATCCAGGTAAGAGGTCTCAGACTCCTAACATGTGGTAACATGAAATTTTTGAATGTTTTATTCAGAGGAGTTCTACAATTTTAGGGACAGTAATTGCAAACCACTAATCAGAATGTCATGGCAGTATTTAAATATTTGCAGTCTAGCTGTTTCACCTCACCTGTTTTTTTTCTGTAAATAAGTGGATTGTTGAAACTGGTGAAAATCTAACCAGTGAACAATATTCAGTATGTATCTATGGAGATGTTTGGAAACATGAACATTTCTTGCTGTTATCAAATATTAAAAGAAAACTGCTCCTCATGCTAATTTATCTACACAGTGATTTGGAGAAGTAGGGAAATACTCTATTTTGTTGATGGTAAACAGTTGTATTGAGAGAGTGGATGGTATGGTCTAGAAATGACAACCGGGCTCTCATCTCCATCAGCTTCCACACGATTAAGGATATTTTCCAAATATAAATGGAAGCTTAAAGTGGTTTTCATCTTGTTCTAAAGATGATGCTACAGAGGTATTTAATGTTAAAACGTGCCATGTTGCCTATGGGACAAGTCTGTATGTACATTTTAAGTACGTGATTCCTAGGAAAATGCCTCATAGGCTAGTGCCTCATAAGTCAGTCTTTTTGGTAGGCATGCTATACATTAGCTCTACACGCTCCCTGGCTTCCACTCCAATTCCCCTGCCTGATCATCAGCTTCTGTGTCTTCCACCTATCTGCCATTGGGTTGCCAGTCCCTGTACCAGTCTGCTACATGCCATATACAGAGGATGCCTGTACCACTTGTGGCACACGTGCCACAGGTTGACCGCCTTGATCTTATGCAGCAGTGTTCAATGCATGTCCTGCAAGGTGGATCCAGCATGCAGAGCCAAGTTATCCAGCCCATGGAGCTCAGAAACTTGGCAGCATGGGAATGGTGAGCCCCATAGCAATTAACATTGCTACTGCTCCCTCGTTGCAAAATATTTTTGACCTGTGGGAAGTTCCACAGTCTGGATGACATGGCCCCGCATGCTGGATCAGGCTGACATGTTGGGTCAGTGTGTGGTTGGACCCAGATCAGGCCTGTGGACTGGCTGTACCCTGCTCATTGAACCCATGTGCCAGAAAGGTTGAACACCACTGGTCTGATGTATTTGTCTTCATGGCAGTTTTGTCTGGATGGGGAAGTACTATTATCCCCATGTCACAGACAGAAAACTGAGGCTTCCCAAGCTCATACAAGAAGTCTGAGGCACACCACAGAATGTAACTATTCCCCAAGTCCCAGGTTAGTATCCAAACCCTGGCACAGTTCTTTTCCTCAGTCTCTATTTTACTACTCATAAATTGGGATAAAAGTTTTCACAAAGCGATATCCACATGGTTAATGCAGAATTGAGATAGCCACATAATATCTAGTACTATTTGAGAACATCAAGTTGAGAGATTTAACTCTCAAAACCAGGAAATAGAATATATTAAGGTATATGTCAAAACAGCCTAAGCTCTGTCCTCATCCTCAGAGTTTGCAATAGCTATTGTATTCAGTCCAGCGGCATTCTCTGCATTATATGTAGCTGTATTGAATAGTTTGGGCAAAATCAGTTTGAGGCAAAACTGATTCTGAACGAAAACTGGATCTGAGCCCTTCCCACGTACATGTAATCTAAGTTGTGTGGAGTGCATGTACCTTGAGGAATCCATCTCAGAACCTCATTTCAGCCCTGAATTCTCTAAATTATGTCAACAGCAATGTATAGGAGGAAGACTGCCCCATAGATAATCAGTAGTGAAATGGGATACAAATTATTTTTTTCAGAGACTTGAGCATCACTAACCTTAGCATTCTGGAAAGGCAGAATGCACACTAAAGGGCAAATGTAACTATGTTATGAAGTTAACCAGTTAACCTTCTAGTTTTTTGTGCACAAAGAAAAATATTATCTTTAAGAGTTTGTGATTATTTGGGAAGTTAAAGTTATGATACAGATTTAGCCTTGGAGCCAAACTAATTATAATACCCGACTTTCACACAGCACTTTATTAGTAGCTCTTACAGCGCTTTACATCACAATCCTCATTTTGCACATGGGGAAACATGCACAGACCTGGAGTGACACCAGGAGGCCTCAGTTCTATTCCTGGCCTCTCCCACTGGCCTTCTGGACCCAGTCCAGTGCTCCCTTCACTAGGTCACATTGTGGTTGTTTGTGACTCCCAAGTTTTCTGTTTGCTTTGAGGAGACTTACTTCATTGCAGGAGATTGGGAGAAACAGTTGGGCTGTGAAATGTTTGTTGTGTGTGAATGATAGAAACATGGTAAACGAAATCAGAGACCTAGTCTTTTTGTCACGAGGTCTTGGCCATTTTAGGTTCATTGAGAAGACTGGTCTGTCTCTCTTCCTCTCGCTTCTATTTCCCTACTAGTTCTTACAATCCTGGCACCTCCGGTGTTTGAAGCTTACTGTCTCTATACCAACTAGTAGAATCCTAGAATTGCTAGCGTGTAAAATGTTACTCCTTGCTGTCTGGTACCAGGCCTCCTCAGCTGTGCCTCTGACCCATCCTGTCCAATCCCCTCTTGCCCTGTTCCAGTCAGCACTCCTAAAACTGTGTCTTGGATTGCAAATTGAATATATACTGCATCAGTGAATGTACGCTGCACTTGCACGAGCCTTGCTAAAAGTCAAATTTATTGATTAAATATTTGGATTTAGAACAGTTTG